GCTCGCATATTTGTGATAGTGTAAAGCCTATTGGAAGGCGATGTAGGCAATCGGTAAAGCTACTGTAATAGAGATAACATATTGTGAATTACGTTCTAGGCATATACGTGAAGGTATTGTGCCAAGGTAACCAAAGATGCATGTGCTTATAAAAGAAAGTTAGGTTTATAGCGTAAACTATAGCTAGTACTTCAGGAGAAACAGAAGTTGTAGAGAGATCTTATTAGACTGGGAATGCCACTATACAGCAGTCTAAGCCAGTAACTAAATGAGTGTGTGTGTGTTTTCTTTTTCTTTTTTATGAAGTCTTAAACACTGTTAAAATTACCAGCTGAATTCCAAACTTGCCAAATGAAAACTGTTGGGTTTTTTTTCCATTTACCATCTCTCACTATCGGTTCCTATTTCCACACGTAGTCTAACTTAGCTGTCTACTTCTCTCTACAGTATTCCTATTTTGGGCCACGTGTGCCAGTGAACATCTCTAATGTTTTTGTTGATGTTAGTAGTGATACTAGTTAGTTTGGTTGTTGGTGTCTAATAAAGTAGCTGAATTACTGGCACTGCTATCATTCTATCTCATTGTGAGAGCCCATATGTCTGCTGATGACCTGGCTATAGACCTCTTTCTATTAGTATTTGAGATGCTAAAGGTTGTTCATTCACTTAAAAGAATAATTTAAAACTAAGTCTCCTTCCAGACTGTCAAGGTTTGCTAAAATGCTACTGTCTAGCTTCACTTACTGAGTCTACTTTACTGAGTCTACTCTCGGTGTAGCAGGGGGACTCTGTTCTGTTGGATACAGTAGCGAAAGGTGGTCAGGATGGTTTCCATCCTGAAAATAGACCATAGTGTTCAATGGAAGCCTCACAATACAGAGAGCACTAGGCTTATGTCTGATGTGAAGTATTAGGGAATTCCTTCAAACAGGAAGGTATTCTGCATTATAAGTAGTGCATGGCTGAGGCTTTTACACAATATCTAAAATTAGAAATGATTAAAATAAGACACTTTTAATATTGAAAAATCAACTCAGAAATAACAACAAGGAGATATTCCTAATACCTCTGTGGTGGTATAAAGCTCGTGTAGTTTCAGTTTGGATTTTGAATCTCTGGTCCCACCAGAATAAAGATCTTCTCTGTGCAAATAGCATGTTCAATGAAGTTAGTAAGGCAGTAGCTGTACTTCAGAGCTTAGTGACTGGTAAGCTTATGCAAGCTTAACTTTTAGGATTCAATAGTAGCTTATTCAAAGAGCTGTTTCAGTTGTGTTATCAAAACAACTGATAAAACCTTTTTTTTTTTCCCCCCTGGTTTCCCCAACTGTAATATAAGAATTAAGGATAGTTGCTATTTGTAAAGGTTAGGCATGACAGCAGTACCACAAAAACTCGTATTTCAGGTCCTAACGCAATTGTATAAAGTTAGTATTAAGCAATCAACTATTTCTTTGCTTCATGAGTAATTCTGTTCATTATGCCAGGCTGTTAAGAAGGTCAGCTGCCTTTAGTAAAGGGCTCTGGGAAAAAACTACTAATAGTTTAGTTGAATACTGCGGTTAGGCTGAATAACTTGAAGCTGCATTAATTTACTATCTCTTCTTGTAGATCACAGTAGTAACACATTTTTCTCCAAGTACTGCAAGAGAACAAAAAAAGGAACACAGACCTGATGACTTTGCAGACAAAGAAAGTAAATTCAGTATGTAGCCTTGTGCCATGGGCAACAAACTTTAGCTGTGGCATCTTTTAGTCAGATGTTAACTTCAACAGCAGATTGTTCTGATCCCTTTAGCTGTCCTGATGATATGGCACTTAGTGTTTTATATGCATCACTGGCATGAAATAGTCTTTTAATTCAGGCAGATTAAAATCCTGTTTTGGCACTTGGCTTTTTTAAACAGCTAGGCAATCAAATTTCTAACCACCGTTGTTACTAGCCATGCTTTATTTGAACTAATTCTTAATTCTAAAAGATAAGCTGCTAAACTACTGCATTTAGCCTGATGGAACTGGTTCTTTCTATTTTATCTCTAAAAACCTTTGAATCTTCTGACCTTTTGAAGGTTGATCAACACTTAAAATAAACAAACAAAAAACCTTAATTCCTAGCTTTGAATTAGCTAGATAGCTAAGTAGAAAACAATACTAAACCAGCAAAAGATAGCTGAAAATGTGAATGTGATGGTTCAGATCTTTCTGTTCTAAACAGGTATGTGGTTCGGCAGCAGACGTGACTGTTGTATTCCATCTGTACCAAATAGTATTTATTTGGTCACTCTGTGAATGTGTTGGGCTTTTGAGCAAGTCACTAACTGAAGACTGGATGCCTTGAGGTAGTGTTAGAGAGCTACAAGGTCTGTCACCATTTTAACAGAGCAGATTTATAATGGGAGTTAAAAACGTTGTTATCTAATAGGCTTACGCCTATTAAGTGTGTGGTCAGTATGAGATCTTTCACCAGTTTGTTGCTTTCTGCTGTCCTTCCTCCCATTTAGGAACTGGCACAGGAGCCAGGAAGAGGGCAGTGAGGACTGTGCTGCCTAGAACCTGGTCTTCTATCTAACCCTTAATGCCAAAGAATGACTGTATTAATGTATAATAAGTATATTAATGTATAGCAAACTAGGTGCTGACTGTTCACATTATGAATGTGATTTTATATATTTCACTTACCAAGAGCGGCTGCTCAGCTTGACATGATGAAACTTGGTTTTGATTAACAGTATCTTGGAAATACCAGTTGTAAGTCTTTGCAGAAAAGATCAGTAGTCTAAGTTCGTGTGGGTTTTTTTTTTTTGGTGCCAGAAAGTTAACTGCTTTATATATTTTTCCCTCTAAACGTCAGTAACGGTTAGACCTCTTTAGTTGCACTCTGCCTTGCTTCTGTTATGTATCCAAAATTAGTGAGGTGTTCTGTAATGAAAGCAATGTTTAAATGTTTTGTGTTGCTTGTTTATCCTCTTTATCTTTCCCTGGATGGCATTAACTTAAATGTCAGAAGTTAGTAATGTTCTGAACTGTGGACTCCTTTTAAAGGAGTTCTAATAAATCTCTAAAAATTGAAATATTCCTAAATTGGAATGTTAAGCTTGAGTTTTGGAAATTTTCCTTAATTTGAGGCTTTTTTCATAATAACTAGACATACTACTTCATCTAATTAAAAGCTCTTAAGCCAAAAGACAAGATATTACTGTTGGTCAGTCTTTGTGGGAATAGATAGCTTTAGGAAATGAGATGTCCCAATTCTTTTGGGGTGAATAGGTGAATATGCTGTAATTGTAGAACTCTAATCTTCTCTTTACTGTTGCTGCCAGAAACTCCAGATGAAAATGGCAAAAGCCAGCGAGCTGACAGTCTTATTATGAAGAAGATAAAGAAAAAAAAGAAAAAGAAACATCGGGAAGATATGAGGGGAAAACGCCTGAAGATGTACAACAAAGAAGTGCAGACAGTTTGTGCTGGACTCACTCGCATTGACAAAGAGACTCTGACTCAAGGACAATGTGATAACTTGGAAGTGAACAAGGAATCCTTCAGGTATCTGAAAGATGAGCAGCTCTGCAGACTGAATTTGGGTATGCAGGAATATCGAGTACCCCAGGGAGTACAAACACCATTTGTGACTCACCAGGAGCATTCCGTTCGCAGCAGCTTCTTGAAAACTGGCACTAAATTTAGTAACTTCATTCATGAAGAACATCAGTCTAATGGTGGCGCTCTGGTCCTTCATGCTTACATGGATGAACTCTCATTTTTGTCTCCAGTGGAGATGGAGAGATTTGCAGAAGAGTTTCTTGCTTTGTCGTTCAGTGAAAATGATAAAAATGCAGCTTACTATGCTCTAGCCATAGTACATGGGGCAGCTGCTTATTTACCAGACTTCCTGGATTACTTTGCTTTTAACTTTCCTAACACTCCAGTGAAAATGGAAATTTTGGGCAAGAAGGATATTGAAACAACAACAATTTCAAACTTTCATTCTCAGGTAAGAGCTGTTTAAAGTTATGAAAGTTAAACAGTATATGGATTTGATTAATCCAGAGTGGTGATGGCATAAAAGAGATGGTCTGACAAAGTATAGAAGCATTTCTGAGGCCTGAAGTTTTTCTTATAAAATGAAAAATGACAATGCTGGAACTTCTACTGTGCTGTTCATTACTGTTTCTACCTGAAGTGCTCTTGTGCTCATCGATAACTGTTGAATCGGATTTCTGACACGAACTCTGACGTAGAAAGGTCTTTACTGATCTTGCAGGTTTCCATTTTATTTGTTCATGTTGAGAGAACACTGACACTGTTCAAAACAGACAAATCTATATTAACAGCTCTCTAAATTGAAGCGGGAGGGGTGTTAGTATTTTCAATAGACCTAGCTCTTGTAGTGACTTTACTTTTCAGGTTTCAGTATACCATGCACAATAAGCTTTTTTTATAACATCTTCTGAATTCTGTTAGTAGCTGCTGATGAGTATTGCTTGGTACTGAAACTTTCCAACTTCAGAGAGATGGAATTTTTTTAATTGGTCTTGGAAAGGCTTTCACATTTTAAACTACCTTGCTTTTTCACAGTGGACTTAAAATATTCTGAAAGCTTTGTAGGATAACAACACTTTCATCCTTAGTTTAAAAAAAGAAAAAACAACCTCAGTTGAAAGCTATTTTCTCAAGACTCAAATTCCCAAGTTTTCAAGCTGTATATCTGTGTAACTTAAATTGATGCAACAATAATAGTTGAGTTAATTTCAAGATTCTTATGTGAAAAACCCTTGGTTTTTTTTTTACTGTTTTGTCATCAGGCTTGGAAGTATCTATGAACGTTCCAGTTCTTAAATGTTTAGATAAACTTGTTATAGATGGAACAAAACCTCTTCCTGCTCAGTCCAGTCTGAGAACAGATTCAAACTGTTGCTTGCTTTTTAAGTCTTTTAAAGAAGTCGCTAAGGTCTTGAATACTGATTCACCTATAAGAAAGACCGACCTAAAGCTCTCTACTGTAGTACTGTTGGAACAGCCATCCTTTAGCAACATATTTTGGAAATGTGATAGTTCTGATGGGCTGCCTGGACCTCTTCAAAGTTCATGAAGTGCTCTTATAAGCAATATCTGCACTGGAAAACAGATACTGGTCACAGAAAGCTATTTGGTAACTTGCAGAGACTTTTAATACTTCCCAGCATTTATTATAGATACCACTTAAATTAGGAATTATATTAGCCTTAGCTTTTGAATTTGTTATTTCAAAATGGGTATCTGCTACAGCACTTTTTAACAACTCTTGCTTCATGGGTTAAATTCTCTAAACTGGCAGAGCTGCATCAGAGTGCATAGTACTCCAAAAACAGTCTGAGTATACAAATAGTTCCTTATCAGCAAGAACACTTTTACACGATACATATCTGAACCTGCGCTCTACAGACATGCAACTTGTCAAGAGGTTTTTTTAAAGTTTTCTGTATTAGTCATTTATATCATGTTCTTTGGCATTTTGGTTACATTCTAACTTACTTGGAGTACATGTAACAGCTCTCTGAAATGGCTAAACAGCACCAATCAGATATGTAACAACTACTTTTTTTTTTTTCTGGCTAGTGGTCTTGGTCTTGTGAACGTGAATAGCTTGTACTGGAAGTTTGTATGTATGGTAATGAATAAGAGGCTTCACTGGGTTGTATTCTCCTCTGATAATTCAATTTTAAATACTGTCTACACTTGATTAAGATTGAATCATGACATTAACGTCAGTTAGGCTAAAACACCTCTCTAAATCCAGCTCCAACATGACCTGATTAATCTGCTATGGCTGAAGTATGTTAGTGTGGTTCACTAACAGTAAACAAACATGTATAGAGGTATAGCTGTCACAACTCTGCTGTTAGACAGCTGAAGCATGAGCCTTTATGGATGATGCTAAAATATCTCATTTAAAGATCCATTTAAAGTGATGGTGGATTCAACTATGGTAGCTGCATCGTGTTAAAACTCAAGATCAGTCTTGAAAGCTAGCTCAAAATAGAAGGCTAAAATGTTCTACATAAGAAAGAGCATAGGCAGGAAAAATCTAGCTATTTTACTTCAGAACAAGCAGGTGATTCTTCATCTTAGAGCTGGTCTGCAGTGCTGCCATTCCTTTGCAGCACTATTGAAGAATGAACAAACAGGCTAAGCTTAGCAGAAGAACTTCTGAACCTGGCTGTATGAGAAATTATAGAATACAAAAATACACTGTGGAACATCATACCTCTGCAGATTAATCATGCTATGGGAATGTTGTATGCAGTAACACTGATCTTTATTTTTTTAATTGAGGGTGCTCAGTTAAGTCTCTTTGTATTCTTGAGTCCTGGAGACTTGATATTGAGAAATCGGAATACTTTGGTCTGTAAACTGCAAGTCCAAAAGTTAACTTGACTTCTGGCTTGTACAACATCCAGCTGTTTCTCGTATAGTTGCCAGATTTGGAATCCTGGTCACACAGACTGAATATCAGTAGCAAGTGGTTCCAATTCAAAGTAAGGACCTTATCCTAGAAGACTTCACAAAGTCTATTGGTAATTATCTTACTTGCAGGGTGAATCCCTTCATTCTCAGGGCAATGAGAACAGTGTAAGCTCCATTAAATTCTTTCCTATCCATACATTAATATGGACTAGTATTTGGGTATCTGCTACTGCATATAAAGCACTCCATCTTGTATTTTTACACTCTACAGATACTATACCCTGTATGGCTTCTGTACATTAAAATACTTACTAAGCTTGAGTGTTCTCTGGGTTTTTTTGCTTGCTCTGGCTCATTTGTTCTAACTCTTAAGTGCTGAAGATAAGTTTCAGTTTGGAGCTATTCACTTGGACTAAGAGCTTTCAAGACTCAAATTGCTGAGAACAGCAATTTGTAAGCTTATTTCACAATAAGGGCATAGTTTAATTTGAAAGTTCTTGGCAGTTGCAGCTTAAGCAGTCTTATTCTTCCTCATCAGTTGTCCCAGTAGAATAGCTTCTAGGGATGGGAATATATTGAGTCTTGAAAAAAACACTTCTATCTTTTTTTTTTTTTGTTCTCAAAAAGAATCTGATCAGCTGCCTGATCTGTTTCAGTATGTGGTCCAAAGAACAGTTAAACTGTCACAGCTGAGTAGGTTCTGGAAGCAAGCCAGGAAAGAGTTGGGGGAAGTAGGCTTGTGTAAACTGATACTGCTGCTGGGAAGGAAGTGGGAGAAGCAGCAAACAGAATAGTAGGATAAGTTCTCCTATTCTTAGAACATGCTGTCAAATAAGGTTACAATTGGTATTTTTTGAGAGCTTTGATTAATGAACCATATCACAGCTTTGTCTGCCCCCTTTAACATTTTTTTAACTCCTGAATAAAAGCTTTCTTATGCTGGATGGGCAACTTACATTTTTTTACAGAAGCTATCAAAGTTTAAAATAAAGAAATCGTGCATCTGTACTGTAAACTCTGTTTACATTGCATTGCTTAAAAGCATCAAACTATGTCTGGTCTCACGGAAGTAGCTGACACATTTTGAACAAACACACAAACCTGTATGCAATGGCTTGTCACACTGTCCCCATTTCCTTCTCTTATGTTGTAAATAGTAAGCCGCCTTCTATTCTTTCTTCCTTGTAGCAAAGTGTTTGCATGGTTAGCTATTAGTATTTCGGGTCAGCTAGGATGCTATCAGTGCCCCTTTGATTCATGCTCTTGTTCAGAGAAATTACTCTAAACTTATTTGTCTCAAGCTTATGCCTCATCTGTGTGCGCTGTTCCTTCCTTCCTGCTTGCTTGGCCCTTCATGAGGTGGGGGATCTGAATTATCTCAGTAATCTACAAATACCATAGCTGTCTACTGCTGTTACTCAAGCATGTGAAGCACTTAAAACACTGCTAGGCACATCATTCACATGCCATAAAATGTCTCAGTGAAAACTGAAGACCTATTTTAATTATACCTATAGCTTAACTTTTAGTGGGAGATGGTATAGCTCAGAAAAAGGAGTAGAGGATTAAAAAGGGTAGTGATACCTATTTGGCATTTTGAATGGGCATATGACACCACCTGAGTGGTCTTACTAACCTGATAGACTCATTACCAAAGTGTGTATTTAAAAAAAAAAAAAAAGCAATGCATGATCTGATCCCACTGGAGATAGTGCTCAGATGATCCATTCTTCGTAAAGAAGCATATGAAGCATAGTATCTACTTCATACTGATATATCAAGTGAGTTAGATGCAAAGTTGTTGGAAAGAATTGGATAAAGATACTAAAACTTAGGTCTGAGCAAACCATTGCAATGAAGGTACTGTGGTAATGAACTGTTCTTGCAGCCGTATAAACTGGAATGATTCAGGCTAGGTTCATAAACAAGAATCACATTTAAAAAATGAGAAACTGTATGAGAAGTCGCAGTGGATATATTAAAGTGTATATACACCTTGAAGTGCTATAAAAACCTAGGTAAACCTTGAAATCCTAGTGTTCCTTAAAGTATTTTTAGTCTATCTCATTTCTAGCTCTTGAATTCTTTTCTATTTTTGCATCACGCTCCAATGCATTAAATAAGCACTGTCAAAGCTTCTGCTTTTCCTTCCCTTTGAAAATATTACCTATATTACAAGGAAAAACTGCATACACTACTTACCCATCTGTTTGTCAGGAAAGTCTAAACAGCTGCAAAATACTAGTGGATCTCAGCAAGTGGTTTCAAGAGAGCATACCTTATCTGAAAGTGGTCTATCTCCATAAACTTATGCAGCTGCCTAGTGCTATTAAAGTAAAACTGGCATAAGGACCAGAGCACCTCGGTCCTTGTTCTCTTGTTACTGCAAAGCAATAGTCTAATACTATAGCTTTCCAGCACTACTGCTCTGAGTTTCATTCTAAGTAGCTGGTGAAGTTATTCCACCTCATTGACATTAGGTAGGAACCTGTGTCTGAAATGTGCTAATAGGATTGGGAGACTTTCACTTGGGTTGCTAATTCTCTTGGCTGTTGGCCTGTGAGGATAGTGCCTAGTTCATAAAATCAGTATTGTCAAAACCAGAAAGTGAGTGTATGCTCATTGAGCTGCTAATGATAGTCTTGATGGACTTGAAGGTAGAGTGCTTGAGCTACATAGTGAAGTTTCTGTGGATGACTTAGGATGTAACCTTCTGTATATGCAAGTAGAGGTGATGTGGTGCAGCAGGTAGCTCAGGGCTGAGAAATAAAGCTAAATGTGGATTGATCTTGGGCTCTATTTAGATTTTAATGTAAAAATAGGTGTATGTAGTTGACACAAACTGCCTGTATATGAAGCTAAAGAAAGAGAGACTCTGGAAATAGGAGTGAGCTAAGCTCCTATAATTAAGAAGTTAGATATTTATGCTTGCTGCTAGAGGATAAAATCAGAGCAATAACTAATTCTTGCTTTATTAATCTGGCTTCATTAAACTTTACAGCCTCACATAGTTGTTTAACTACCTTGTAATTTGCTGGCCAAAAACTTACAAAAGCAACTCCTTAAAACAAAGCTGCTACACACCCCCCCACACCCCCTCCCCCTTCTGTAACTCCATTTGTAGATGTATTGTATCATGCTTACTATGTACCACTATAAACTGCAAATTTCCAAACGCCCTTTGGTCCTTCCTACCTGTTCCCCCTGGTGTCATGGAGATTGGATATCACTAGAACCACTTGAATATAGATAGGCTGTTAAGGATGACGGACGGTTCAGAGATAAATTGGGTATACAAAATAGACTAATCATGGTAAAATTTCTGATCTTTTACGATTGGATAGCTGCTGCAACTATGTACTCTGTGGTTATAAGGCATATTATAGCTATAGACCATAAGAAGAGACTGTACAACACTGGAATCTTGCTGGGTGTTCTGCTGTATGAGCAGGAAGCTGGCAGGCAAAATTTATGGATGACCCAAGAAAACAGGACATTCTGTGCTACAGAGGTCAAAAAACAGTTTCAGTCAGTTTGAAGTGTTTCTGACCACAGCTGTGACAGCAGCTTGTATTAGAAGATAATCCCAAAGCTTTTGTGGCTTATCACCAAGATGTACACCTGAGCACTAGATTTCTAGTTAGACCTTTCATTTCCTTGATTTCTCATACAGTTTTACGTATGCACATATTAGAGCTGCTGCGTGGGACGTTCTCAGCAGTCTCTTCACATGTTCCCAAAGTCATCCCTTTAAAATACGTAGATGAATCTTGGACTTGGATGAAGACTCAGCTGTGGCCTGGTACATTGTATTAATAATTTTTAATTTCCTGTAAGAGAACTAAAGCTGTGGTGGTATTGTCTTTTCCTTTCTGGCCACTCAGGTCAATCGAACATACTGCTGTGGAACCTACAGAGCGGGACCAATGCGGCAGATCAGTCTTGTTGGAGCAGTAGATGAAGAAGTTGGGGACTACTTCCCAGAATTCCTAGATATGTTAGAAGAATCTCCGTTTCTGAGAGTAAGAAGTAACTTGTGATGTTCTGTTTGAAGTGCTATTGATATTTTAACAGTTACTAAATTTCAGATACTTCCAAGCAATTAAAAAGCTTAAAGCCAATTTCTCCATTGATACACTCATCATTTGGGCTACTGAGGACAGTGGTACATTCTTTCCTCTGTCCAAATGAAAGGTACTGAACTAATGGGATAGTCATGTAAATTATTCAAAAACTAAAATTTGGTTCATCATGTCATACATACTACATAATTACCTACTTTCCTAAAAACTAAAATTTGATAAGCTTAGCTTAGAATATATTTTACCTCTCAGAACTTGCATCCGTTTCTACACAATTCTTTTGACAATGAGTTTGAACGAGTTTTACTAAAGGCATTATTTAATTTATCCATCTCACTCACTGTTTTGTGTTCTGTTTTTTTTTGTAGATGACTTTGCCCTGGGGTACTCTTTCTAGTCTCAGGCTTCAGTGCCGGTCACAAAGTGATGATGGTCCCATAATGTGGGTGAGACCGGGAGAACAGATGATCCCAACAGCTGATATGCCAAAATCGCCATTTAAACGGCGCCGGTAATGTTTTGATTTCCTTTACTTATTAAAGGAGAATATCAGTTTTATCTGTTTTAGATCTGAGAATAACAAATAAACGTTTACGTGTAATTAGTTCTTCAGAAGGCTAATTTGCAACTGTTAGCTTATCATTTTCGTTCCTGTTTAAAATTGGCTTAGTGAATTAAGCCAAATGTGTTATTTGTGATGGTTATGTTATTTCACTGCTTTTCAGAGCAATGCATGTTAGATCAATGCTTTCTTAATATTGTAACCTCCTGTTACCCTTCAGGTGTGGGTTTTTTTTTTTAATTCATCCAATTTCTATGAGAAGAGCTAAGTAGGTGGTAAGGGTTGGTGAGATGCTCTAAAACAGTAGAGATCCTTAGACCATTAAAGTTGCATCTTAATGTTAGTGCATAAGTAGTTGCAATACTGTCTGCTTTCCCAGGAAATATTGTGGGGTGTGTGTGTGTGTGTGTATATATATATATATATATATACACACATATATATTTCTACACACGCGCACACATACACTTGATATCTTCTCAGACTAAGTGCTCTATATGGCTAATTTTAGGAGACAAAGAATTGGAAGCATGTTTTAATTGTTACTTTGTGCAGAATATCTGAAGGTCCTCCCAAATAACTTCAGTATCTGTTAAAATAGCTCAATTTTACATGCCATTAAATTTATAGAAGACTCCTTTCAGCTCAAAGGAACAAAATTTATTTTTTGGTGACTAGCTCTCTGTTCTGTAAAGTTGGCTCTCATAACCTGAATTGTATATAGCTGTGTTTTGCTCAATCTTTTGTTGTCAAATAGACTATTGGAATAAATCAAAGGGAAATGTCTTGATCTTAGATTTTGAAGCCTACAGGAAACACCATTTTTAAAGATTATTTTAATACAAGTACATATTTTTCTGAGTAGTCTGAAGCATCTTTCAGTATGTCTTTTGATTGTGCTGTAGATCAATGAACGAAATAAAGAATCTCCAGTACCTACCTCGGACCAGTGAGCCCCGTGAGGTTCTTTTTGAAGACAGAACAAGAGCTCACGCTGATCACGTGGGTCAAGGATTTGACTGGCAGAGTACAGCTGCTGTAGGTGTTCTGAAGGCTGTACAGTTTGGGGAATGGTAAGTGCAACTGAAATAACTATTCTAGCGGGAGGGAGGAATTCTAAACGTTCTCTCTTAAAAAAAGAAAATTCCCTGGGAAAAAAGCCTAATTAAAGAAAGCATTCAAATCTTGTAATAAGGTAAATGCTGTCTAGAGCTTGAAAAATGTAAACTATTTATCTATTCTTTTTCCTCCCTTTTTGAGGCGCTATAAAAGTTATAACAGCAGTTTTCAGAGAATTTTAGTGGCATACATAATAAGCCTCAAAATACCCAGGCCATCATCTGTGATTGTTCTTTTTCTGAATAGTTATGTTAACTTTTGTAAACTGACCAATCTAACTGGATGAATTAATTTCAAAGCTATAATGCTTTCTCATTTCATATACAGATGACATTGCTCTCTTGACCTTGCACAGAAAAAAATTCTAAATTACAGACTTGCAACACTGTTATTTCTAACAATTACAGTAGAAATTGGATAGCATCATCAGCAATCTCATTAGATTTCAGTATGAGTAAAAGGTGCCAAAACTTCCTTAACTCTGGTTCACTGCCATTGGACAGAGAGAGCTGATATATCCTCATCATTTCAGCTTCAGAGTGCCACGTACTTTTAAATTGTTCCTTTAATACGCAAATCTCGGTCCGATTACAGAATGGACGAATTAAGGCAAATTGTGGCTCTGAGAACATAACAGTAAATTTTATTAGAGTGGCAATTTGAACCTAGTTCTCTGAGGTTTTAGGAAAGTATTTATGCACAAAAACACAACTTGTGTTGCACATGCGTTAAGCAAAAAGCAAAATGAAAACAGCAAATCTATTATACCTCCTTTCCTAAATAACATGCATTATAAATAACATGTAATAACTAAATAACATGTAATAACAACTGAGAAGCAATGAGACTTCGTGTCCGGTTGCAAATCAGTTAGCAACTTTGTTCAGTGAAACACTTCTCTGGAAGAGCTTTAATTCTCTATAACTCAAATGCTTAAAAAAAAAATTCCTGGAATTCTCATCTTTCTAGGAGTGACCAGCCTCGCATAACCAAAGATGTGGTTTGTTTTCACGCTGAAGATTTCACTGATGTTGTGCAGAGACTTCAGTTGGACCTGCATGAACCTCCAGTGTCACAGGTACTGAATCTTCCCTGGTGACGGTTCATTCTTAATATTTTGAAAGTAGTTTCTGATAGTTTTCAGGTTCACTGTATATCCAACCCTTTTGTGTCCTCAGCAGCCCTTAGTTCTCAGCTCTGTAAAGCAATTGCCTTTCTCATGTTTCTTTTGCACCAAGCTGGGATTTATGCTGTGAGTCTCTCTGTGTTCTTTTGTAATTTTCCTCTCAAAAGTCTTAAGTTCAGTTCAACACCTGCAGCTTTGTTAGTCACATAGTTACAATGACTGAGTTAACCTGTGACCAGCAGGCCCTCACAGAGCAAAACCTTCTTATTCAGGATAAAGGCATCACAAAGAGAGTGTTCTGTAGAAAAATATACACCACTAATGTGTCTCTAGCATAAATATATATTTTGCATATAAGATTCTGGCAGGTATGGTATTTACTAGTTGAGTCCAATGTGAATGACTTTCCTGCTTCCGTCCCAGATGCCCAGGTTATAACTATACGCTTTGAAATTGTTTGAGGGGTTTCTTGGACCAGAACAAACTAATCTGCGGGGTTTTTTTTGGTTCTGTTGGATGGTCTGTTTCCACATTTTTTTTTTTTTTTTTTTTTTTTTTTTTTTTTTTTTTTTTTTTTTGATTTGTCTTAGAGGTTGCAATGATTGCTACAGGTACCTTGCTATTTGGGACTGGAATTCCAACTTTTGTACTCTATCGGTGCCTTTAAACGCTCATGTGTCCATGACATCTTGCATCTCAATGTTATGCTTGCTGAATGTTTTGTACTTCTAAGTAATTTTTTCAACAGCTTGTGGATTTTCAATTGCTTTAAGTATACCTTTGACTTGATATCTTCTAGTACCATTGTTGGATAGAGTATTTCTAACTTTAACGGCAGCAATGTGATTATTTGAGGATTATGGATTGCCTGCACTGATACCTCTTTCTTCCTTAGCCTAGATTTAAGTAGGTCCCACCCATTTTTGGTATGAGAGGTCTATCTGGTATCTAAGAACCAGAGGCTGTTAGGTTGCTAGTTCCCTGACAGATAGTACTCCTGTGTCTAGCATATGATATGTACTACAGGAACAATTATAAGTTAAGAAATTATCATGCCTGTTTCTGCCTTTTATAATATGTTAGATTTTTGTCTGATGTTGTCTTAGAACGCAAAGGCACCTGAACTCAGGCCTGTTTGCCAAAACAATGCAGCCTCATGCTGAACCTGTTTTTACCTGTAACTGCAGAATGCTCTTATCTATTAATTGTCCTCTCAAAGATGTGCATGTTATACAAGTTACAGTTAAAAAAAAGTGTATCATTCTCATGTAAAGGATTGCAACTGTACCTATTAAACAAACATTCTTACTTGGACAAAGAATATGATCAAAGTGGATACTGAATTGTTTACCCTGAACAGAGTATAACACTAACTTTACCTTCTTTCTTCCTCTCAGTGTGTTCAATGGGTGGATGAAGCCAAACTAAACCAAATGAGACGGGAAGGCATTCGCTATGCTAGAATTCAGTTGTGTGACAATGACATCTACTTCATCCCTAGAAATGTCATTCATCAGTTTAAAACCGTGTCAGCAGTCTGCAGCTTAGCATGGCACATAAGACTTAAACAATATCACCCTGTGGGGGAGACTTCTCAAAACACAGAAAGCAATTCAAGCTTGAACAATAGTGTTCCTGGAAAGACAGAGTCAGAAGATGAACCCCAATGCGTGAGTATAAAAATAGAGTCTGAAGAACCTGGTATAGAAATGCAGCTTACAACAGGGGTGCTCTCCTCCTCTTCCTCCTCTGTTTCTTCAATATCAGGACTTGCGCAACCAGATCAGGTGGCCCAGCCCCTTCCAGGTTTTAAAGTAGAGTCTGCTCAGCAACACAATCCACAGGATCATACAGGCTCTTCTGTGTGATATGTATATAATCAAACATTTTTTAACAACTTTTTAAAATTTTGATGTGAAGTTATAGTTTTATAACTGGCTTATGTTTTATTGGAGAAATCTTGCCTATAATTCTATAAAGAAAGGTGACATTCCAAAATGTCAGGCATATCTTTTTTACACAGATTATGCAAAATTCAAGTTGTATTTTAACCCCTTAGTACAACCTGTAACAGTGGTCTACCACTTCTTTCTGTTTAAGTAAAGAGATATTCAATATCTCCTCAAAGTCAGAATGAAATTCCTCCAGGAACGTAAAATGATTGAACTACACTGGTCAGTGTTATTTCCCTACTTTTACTTTATCTCTAGTCTTCACCATAAAGTGAGGCTTTTGTAGAAGACTTGCAAAGTGACTTTCCCATCTCATTTTAACTGCTAAGAAAAAGAGGAAGCACAGCACTTTTGATGATTTGTAATTTTTTGGTATGTCTGTTCCTGACATCCTCGTTTATATACAAGTTAATAGCTATAGAAATTGATCTCTCTTTCTTACAGTCCTACAAAGGTGATCTGTACAATTAACTGAAGAAAGTGTCTGATCCTGTTGAAATGTAATGACTTACTGACCTAACATTTTTCATAGCACTGCTTATACTGTTTGGTGTGAGGATTTTGCTTCCAAAATACATCTTCCCAGAACATGATTAATTCTGGTGTCAAAATTAGAGAAGTTATTGGTAGTCTTGTGGAGGAAACTGCTATCTTTGAGCACTTTAAGGCTTTAAAATACTAACCAACTTGGCAGCTTGTTTTGACCAGGTCATAATAAATGTCCAATGGAACCACACTTTCCCTGGTACTGATGCACTTAATATATTAGCATTGAGTTGATGACTGACTTATACAATAAGACTGTCCTTATTTTAGGAAGTTCTGTGTTACTATTTCACAATAAAGTATTATGGCATTGGACTGCTGTTTCCATGTGTAGCTTTTGGGTGCCCAGGTACTGTGGAAAATCAGTGGCACATGCTAAATATGTAGTGTCAGCTATCAACCGTTTTTTAAAAATCTTTCAATATTTCTGAATGTTAATGTATAGTCTGTATTTGACTTTCACTCACCCCATTTATAACTGTCCTTTCCAGTCATCAAAAGGAAAAATCCTGTCCTGTCCCTTCTCCTCCACCCCCAACCTCTCCTGCACATTTAGTGTACAAGCTGGGTTTTGGTGCAACTGAAGTTGTCTCCAGATAACTTTATTTGTTCTAATCCTCACTGGGATAGGAAAGATTGAAACACTATGTTAGACTAGACAAAAGCAAAGATGCTGTGTTAGTTCTGGATGCATCTTTTTAATATCAATTATTACTCTTCTCTTTATAAGGGTCTCTAAAATATGTTACTCTATTATAAATCTTACTTTGTGCAATATTGTTTGTGTAGGCTTTTATATACATATTAGCACCTCAGTGTAGAGGTCACTATTTTAAACTGATAGAAAAATAATCATCAGAAGATACTGCAGTGACTAGTTAGAACCTGTATTACTCCTTATGTGTATGTATGTATTGTCTTCGGTACAAAAATGAGGACTAGGAAATATTTCAATTTAAAACTAATTTACAGATTGAAGTGGTAGTGACTTGTTTAGTAATCTGTGTAAATAAGGTGTTAGAATGGAAAGCTTTTATGATGAAAAGTAATGTGATTCACGCAGGGGTGTAATTTAATCTTAGCAGAAATTCTAGATGATCAAGAATGGTTCAGAAATGAGCCGTCTGTTCTCTGGTGTTTTTTTCCCCCACTTTTATGTTGAGAGGAATTTCATAGCTTTAAGGGTTGTGCAAAGTAAAATTCCTCACAGGCAATAGTGGCTTCATTCATCCTTCATATTCAAAGATCATATTACACAAGTATGTTCTTTCCTTTCTACAAAGCCTGCTAGTCTTCCAAGTGCCCGTTTCCCTTCTCACATGTGCTATTCTTTGGTCATGTCAGTAGAGGGACATCAGTAAGGTGGCCATTCTTTGACAGCCAGCACTGTGTACAATCGCTCAGGAATTGACAAATCTGCAGATCCTACAGTCATTCTGCCCACGTCTTTAAAGGCAGAATAAACAGATTAAGAGCCCCCATACTCCAACTTGTCTGTATTATTTTAGAACTTGAAATAGAATGAAAAGGGAATTGATTTGGAAGTCCTCTGTAAATTATATTGTAATAGCATGTTTTTAAATAGAAACAGGAAGACAACTAGAGTGGCTCATGCTGCTTTTAAAACTGTACTTCCTTTAGTGCAATCTGTGACTACAGTCTGTCTGAAGTACCAGGAAAATGCTCTGATTTCTCTTTGGATGGAGGGACATGACCCATTGTATCATGCTCTCCTTATATTCAGTTCAGTTACTAATTTAATATCTAATGCCAGATATTAAATGTAGAAACATTGTATCTTCAAACGACTTGGCTGAATGATGCTGATGCTATTCTAGAATGCTTGTGTAAGACTGAGGCAGAGAGGAACAGACTTTATAAAAAGCTATGACCTTAAATACCTTATCAACTTTAGTATGCTTAATCCCAAGTGACATACTGCTTTCAAACTCCACTTCAGATCTGGATATAAAGCATGGGAGGGATTGCTTGTGAAGCTCATAGCCAAACTGTCTAGCCATTGCTTCAAGGTTCCTTCAACTGCACTGAAATCAGCAGAGCAGAATTGGAGCACCTTGATATGAAAGATTCAAATATTTTTGTGAACAACGTGTGGAATACTGATTTCATAAGTTATAGCTATTTTAAAATGAAATAACAAATTCAAGTCATTTAGTGTTTTCTGAGCAAAAACAAATCTCTGGCTAAGTCTGAGTAAATATTTCTGAAAATATATCTCATGATAAATAGATGACTGATGAATTTCTCAGATTTCATAAAACAGCTTACATGTAGGGATAATCAAACTTTGGCAAATTTCTTAGTTTTTTTTAAGCTGTGCTCAGTTTTAACCTTCTGGATAGGCACAAAAGAGTTTATAAAAATCAGTGCACTGGTCAGTTAGTGTAAATTATCATTTCTCCATTTGAGGATCTGCCCTGGGATGTGTCTCTTTTAAAAACAAAAATCTACAGTCTACAGTTGATACCCAGGAAACGCTCTTGCTTTATACCCGAGACACCTGCTAGTTGACCAAGAACGTAGTGCTCTGTCTATAAAGAGTGATCAGCTTTAAGCTGCAGCTCGGGCTTTGGCTTCTATTTGAAATAGTGTTGTTGCTTTTTAAAACAACTGTTATTTGGGGTAAGGATGAATAGATCAATTATGCTAGGAATTAACTAGCAAAATGCAATCTAAAGATGGAAGATCAGTTTCATATTCCTCTCTCCTTTAGACATGCTACAAGTCATTTTTGCAGGGACTTGACATACCTTAAGAGTAATTTGTGAAACCGGACACCTGTCTCATTGCGATATTCTCCTCCAGGAAGGTGAGACACTCGGTGAAGTGTTCTCAGGGGATATATAAATCATATTTTTATAGGTATAGGTCTTGCCATACAGTTAAAGGGCTCTGTACTGTACTTTTGTCAGTTTTCCTACATGTTACAATTTGTCCAGAGGAGCTAATGCTAATCATCAGAGCTTTTACTGAGGACATGAATTCAAGTCCTTCATCAGGCACGTCCTGCCATTTACCAGCCTGAACTGACTGAGTAGTAAACTCCCCAAATCATAATTTCCTAGAAATGGTAAGTGTTTGTAGCCATATGTTTGTTTAAAGGGTGCAAGAAAAGAGGAATATTTGTCTTCACTCCCCCAAAAGTGACCTCTCTAACCTGAAAGCTCGTACTGTATATTCTTATGTTGGTCCAATTAGAAATCCCAACAATATTTTGGCCTTCCGTTGATATCCATAGTAGTTTTTAGAATGCAATAGCACATGTAGTTGAGAAGGTGTCTCTTACTGTGGCACTCTTGAATTGTGTTTAAAGAAATACATATGCTTCTAATTTCTTTGTACAACATGTAAAGAGATTTCTGTATTGCTGTTTTTGTGATTTAATTTGATTTTGATTGGCAGCTAAGATTTTTCTGTGGTTTTAATTTATCTAAGGTCTTTGCCTCAGAGGACATGTACAATTGCCTGGAAGACTGTTTGCTTTGTGCGGCCTTAGTATATTTATTGACATTTAGCAAGTGTTTTAAAGAGGTTTTATAACGAGTAGTGTAAACAGGCGAAGCTCTGAAACCTCTCTGTGAATACTCCTCTAACGCAGCGCATTTCTTTCGGTAGCTGACTGTACGAGAGTGTCAAACTGTTAAGCTATTTCTTTGTAAAATAGTCAAACGGAATGCATAGATTTTTTTCCTGTAAAGTATTTTTTTAATAAACAAAGTCTGATTTTGTCCTTTACCTGGATCGCTGGCTGCGGCTGCTGTGAACCGCCGCGGCTGCCGGCCTCGGCGCTCCGCTA